GTCTCTATTTCATGATTTCTTTTATCAAATCAATATTTCCATTTTCCCTTTTCAGTAACTCACATACAATAGGTTCGTCATATCATTTTATACATATATAATGTATCTGAACATTTCCCACTACCCTCTCTTGTCCCCTTTCCACTCTTTATGATCTCCTTCCTCTTCTCAACTAGTTTCCCTCTCTGCTTTCACGGCTGGTTTTGTTTGTTTGTTTGTTTCCTAACTTCATTGGTTTAACTTCTAGGAATATGGGTAATGCTAGTTACAGGAACATGGGCAAATTACCAAGGACTACATACACACTAGAGGAAATGTTTTTCCCTTTCTCAGCAACCACTAACTTCCTAAAGATCCTCAAGCAGGGGTGGGGCCTTGTGAGACCATTCCTCCTATTTTGATGGAGCATTGACTGATCCAATATTGTTCAGATCTTGTGCAGGTAGCTATAGCTGTATTATGCCCAGGAGACAGCATTCCATAACATTTCACCTCTTTCTTCTTCCAACTTGTACATTCTTTCTGCCCCATTTTCCATTATGTTCCCTGAGCCTTGGAGGAAGTGATATAGATGTCCCATTTAAGACCGAGTATTCAACAACATCTGTTCAAAGTCTTTGAAGAAACCATCCCTACTATAAAAAGAAGGGCTTCTAACTGATAGTGACACTGATATATGGACATGAACATAAATATTTAAAAGGTAATTTGATTCCCTGATACAACCACTGTGTCAGAGCAGATGGAGAGCCCAAGCTGGAGCTTGCAAGAAAGGCTCTTTGCTTTTGCATATGAACTCAGACTCCTGGTGGTTTCTGGGGGAATCATGATGCAGGCATAACAGCAACAACATGAATTTTCTCAGTCACAGCTTTCGACCAGGCTTATAGTATCTGATATGAATTCCCTTCTGTTCATTGGACCTGAAATCCAATGAAAATATAGCTAGTTGCACATATAATGGCCATGCTACTATTGCACTTGCAGACTTTGTAGCGTCTTTAATTAATTAATCAACTTATATTTTTGAAACAGGATCTCATTCTGTGTAGCCCAGGCTAGCCTCAAACTTGCAGTAATCCATCTGCCTCAGCTTTTTGAGTTCTATGATTGTTTGTGTGAGTCATTGCAGCTTTTTGGGTGTCTTAAACATACTTATTTTAACTTACTTTCAGATTAACCAATTAATCTCTTCATTGTTGATTTTGTTGCACTGTTTCTCAGTTTTGTTTTCCTCAGTATTTTGGTTTCAAGCTTGTCCCTCTGTGAGAGTTTCTCTTACACTTTCCCCCCACTATTCCTAGTCTAAAGATGGGTCAACCCAAAAGTCATAATATACATGCAAATGACCTGTAAGGGGGAAATGCTCTGACAAAACATTATGAGACAAAAAAAAAAAAGTAAATAAAAAATAAAATAAAATAAAAATGGTTCAACCACCACCTTTCAAGCAAGACCTGCAGGACATCTGAACTACAACTAGATTTTATAATTTACAGTTTAGAGGAGATAATCTAGGATAATAGCTGCATTTTTGCTAGAAATAACTTGATTTAGATCCTGATCAAGAGTCCATCTGCTTTTTTTCTGCCTTTTTTATTTCCCCTGCCCTATGTAACCTAGGCAATGGCCAGTTTAATTTCTTCCTGCCTCTCCCCCCTTCCAAAGATGTGGAGGGGGAATGATGCCTCGCAGACCCTGGCTTTAAGCAGAGAAGCCAGCTTTCGATGTCTTGCTGCGCATGCACTCCTCCAGGCTCTGTTTCAAGCAAGCAAGGGTTCCCCCACGGCTTGTGTCAAATGATTGCTCTCAGTTGGCCCAGCTGCTTCAGGTCTGCTCTGAATGGCAAATGCGTATCCTCTATGTATTTTATTTCCTCGCTGTTTATTTTGTCTGCCATTGGTACCTTGGAGTACCAATGATAATAGTCAGGTCATAAGTTTACAGGGCAATCTTTTTTTAATTTTATGTACCTTTATTTCATGTTCTTTCATGTTTTACCTCTATATATGTAAGTGTGAAGGTATTGGATTACCTGAAACAAGTTAAAGACAGTTATGAGCTGCCATGTGGTTGCTGGGAATGGAACCCAGGTCCTCTGCAAGAGCAGCCAATGCCCTTAACTATGAACCACCTCTCCAGGCCCACAGTACAACCTTTTTTATGTTTTGTTTTTGTTTTTGAGACAAGGTCTCTCTATATGCCCTTTGCTGTCTGAAATTTGTTGATCTGTAGACCAGGCTGGCCTCAATTCAGGGATCTGCTTGTTTCTGTCTCCTAAATGCTAGGATTAAATTACAGTGCAATCTTGATGGTAGTCTTATGCTAATTCTTTTGTTTTGTTTTGTTTTTCAAGACAGGATTTCTCTGTGTCTAGCTTTGGCTGTCCTGGAATTCACTTTGTAGACCAGGCTGGCCTTGAACTCAGAAATCTGTCTGCCTCCAAGTGCTAGGATTAAAGGTGTGCACCACCATCTGATGAGACTTTTTTTCTTTTGGTTTTTCGAGACAGGGTTTCTCTGTGTAGTTTTGGAGCCTGTCCTGGAACTAGCTCTGTAGACCAGGCTAGCCTTGAACTCACAAAGATTGGCCTGCCTCTGTCTCCCAAGTGCTGAGATTAAAGGCATGGGCCACCAACACCCTCCCAGCTGTTTTTCTTTTTTCTTAAATAAATTTTTAATAAATTAAAAACAATCTTATTTTACATACCAATTCCAGTTCCCTCTCCATTCCTCCCATACTCCCCACCAATCCCCCATCCAACCCCCATTTACTCCCCAGGGAGGGTGAAGCCTTCCATGGGGGATTATCAAAGTCTGACACATCATTTGGGGCAGGACCTAGGCCCTCCCCTGTGTATCTAAGCTGAGAGAGTATTCCTCTATGGAGAATGGGACCCAAAGTCCATTTGTACACTAGGGATAAATACTGATTCACTACCAGTGGGCCCTATAGATTGCCCAGGCCTCCTAACTGACATCCATACTAACTCCCACATTCAGGGGGTTTGGGTTGATTCTATGCTGGTTTCCCAGCTATCAATCTGCAATGAGCTCCCCCTTGTCCAGGTCAGCTGTTTCTGTGGGTTTCCACAGCATGGTCTTGACCCATTTGCTCATCACTTCTCCTTCTCTACAACTGGATCCCAGGAGTTTGGCTCAGTGTTTAGCTGTGGATCTCTGCTTCTGCTTTCATCAGCTACTGGATGAAGGCTCTAGGATGGCATTTGAGGTAGTCATCAATCTTATTATCAGGGAAGGGCATTTAAGGTAGCCTCTCCACTGTTGCTTAGATTCTTAGTTGGGATCATCACTGTGGCTCCCCGGACATTTCCCTAATTTGGCTTTGTTCCTAATTATGCACCTGACCAAAGGAAGTAGTAGTGGCAAGCTGCCACCCATCCCTTGTTTGGTGGACTTACCCTCCTCTGCAGTTTGTAGTTAAAGGAAGACAGAGCTGTTGGCAAGAAAATGCCTGCTTAAATGTTAAGACAAAGTTCATTGGTCAATTTCCTTTTGAACTTGTCATGGTGTGTATCTCAGGTTATGAGTTTCTGGTAATGTGGCAATAATGGAGATGAGAGTTACCTTGGAAGAAACCGTATACATCATATAAGCAAGTTTTCTGGATGAAAATAGGATTAATAATTTGGGATATTAAATTTTTTACATTAAATAATATATACACACATTGGTGATATATATATCACTAATACAGGACTTCAAAAAAACTACTATACCCTTTAAATCCACTCCTTAGACTCTAAGAAGATTTACTCTTCTGATTGCCCAGGTATTATGGTGAACAATAAGCAGGAGTCCTCATGAATGGACCAGGTAAAATACAAAGGGATGGATTGAAAATGTCCTTTACTTATTCATTCGCTACCTCTCTTTGATTTCTGATTTCCTACTTTACAACAGGGAGGCTGAGGTCAAAGTGAGCCCTTGGTATGGCAATGAAAGTTTAGTATCCCCTTTGGACATTCTTTCAGAAAAGCTGTGCAAAGCCGTGAAGTATACCGTATTACTGGATATTCTGCTCCAAGTACATTATCTCCAACCACTAACCATTATTTCTATTCCAACCCAAGTCTCTGTAGTCTTTCTGTGACCACCATACTTTCCAAACTAAACACTTACTAGGCCTGATGATGAAACTGAATCTTGAAAATTGGCTGTCCTGTAAAATGCTTGATGTATATTCCATAGAATTGTGCTGCTGAAAGGCTCATGATGGAGAGACAGAACTGTGTCTAGCCTTAGACAAGAGGTTTTCCTCCTTACAAAGCAAGATATTGAGGTCTCAAAGGAGCCAATTCTATCAGTAACCCCAACAAGACAGCTGGAATGTTCTCACATCGGCATTCTCAGAACTTGTCTTCTTTATTTGGATTCCATAATCTCCTCCATCATGACATGCATCCTTGACTCCTGGTCATGTCTCATAGAACTAGGTGTCCTACTGACAGTGGGCCTTACTAATCATTCACTGTTCAGTCAACCATTCATTTATCCATCTCTCCTCATTCAGCTTTCTTCTATATTTTCTTGTACATGTTGGCAACTCTTCAATTTGACAGCCCGTGAAAATCTATGCCACCTTATTTGCAGTTTCTTTCCCTTGTCTTTCCTTCATCATGTGTTTATTTTGGCATAATAATCTTTCCACTCAAATATTCAGTCTATGCCACCTTATTTGTAGTTTCTCTTCCTTTTCTTTCCTTTCATTGTATTTATCTTGGCATAATAATCTTTCCACTTACATATTCAGAGTAGTGAATAAGAAGCAATATGTTACCGGGTGGTGGTAGCACACACCTTTAATCCCAGCACTCTGGAGGCAAAGGCAGGCAGATCTCTGTGAGTTCGAAGCCAGCCTTGTCTAAAAGAGCTAGTTCCTCTATAAGAGCTAGTTCCAGGACAGCTTCCAAAGCCACAGAGAAATTCTGTCTTGAGAAACATAATTAATTAATTAATTAATAATAATAAATCTAAACCAAAAAACTTCCTCAACAGCTAACTGCAGGGAACATTGTTAGAAACAATGTAAATCGTGAACCATGTTTGGTTAAACCAAACACATTATCACACACACACACACACACACACACACACACACACACACGCACACACACACACACACACTAAGTGAGAGGACTGAAAGGTGATGAATATCACCCCTGGCTTTTATGTCATTGAGACAAGTTCTTACTTTGTCACACAGGATGGCTCTCAAGACATCTTCCATCAGCCTGTGAAGGAGCTGAGACTCCAGACACACATCCCTTGCCTAGCCTAGTGTCTTGGCGTTTTCTAAGCAACATGCCCTATCTCCATATACATACTACTATTTCTTTGTCTCTCTGCCCCTGCCCTCCTCCCTGCCTCCCCAACTCCTATCTTCTGTTTTGATTTTTGAAATGTTAGATCTAACCTCTGAGTAACGAGATTATGGCTTACTTATCTGCTTGTTTTGCAGCAGTGCAGACTGAACCTGTCTGTGCTAAGCAAGCACTCTCTCACCGAGCCCCAGTCTCCCCCCCCCCCGCCCCGCCCCGCCCCGCCCCAGCCCCCACGCATTTCAAAGCACTCACATGTTTAGCTTTTATGTTGACCTAGAGGTATTTTTCTCTGCTCTGCTTTATTTTTAGTTCAGTATGAGTGTAAAAGTCATCAAAAGGTTAAAAACCTGAAAAGGGGAGAAAGTACAAATGTTCAATGTTACAGTTTATATTTAAAAAAAAAAAAAAAAAACCTGCATTTAACTTTCAAGTTGTTGTTTGTTATTTAAATTATTTTTCAAAGCTTGGCATGCCCAACAGTTGAGAGGCAGAGGCAGACAGATTGATATGATTTGAGGGTAGTCCAAGCTATATGTCTATGTCCAGTTCCAAGCTAGCCAGGCTACGTATTAAGACCCTGTTTAAAAAAAAAAAAAAAAAGGAAGGAAGAAAGAAAGAAAAAAGACAAAATGTAATTTCATTGTTTAAGTTACATATTTTTGTTTATGAAAAATGCTGGCTATCTTTAAGATATGTAGTTGTTTTAATTTCCTTTAGACTCACCAGATGAATTTTAAGATACCAATTAGAGTCATTCAGTAAAGATGAGTCTATTGTGTTCACGGAATCTAGCACTGGGAACCTAAAGATGAATTCAGCTCAGATCCTGCCTCCAGCTCATAACCTAATCTACTCTAATTTTTAATCAGGGGAAGCAGACTACTAGGAAAGCAACGAGACAAATGCCTAAGACATAGGGAACCTTCCCTGCAGCTAGCTGGGAGGAGCCATAGATTTTCGATGGATGTAGGAATCTGATGGGAAAGATTCTTTGCTTTAGCCTTTGCTTGAGTCTACCCTGAAGCAAAACAAAAGAATCTGCACTTGGTTCCTTTAAGAGCTGCAAAGCAACTAGCTTGCTAGGCTCCCCTCAAGTAATTTAAGGTTCTCAGTTAGCGGCTAATAATTAACATCCATCTACTAGACAACTCCACTTGATCAACCCACAGAGACCACAGACTCAACTCATTCCAAAGGCGAGTCTTTATGCTTGCCTAAAAACCTCTCTCGATACATTTTTTGAGACACGTTCCAGTTTGGCTTGCAATTCCCAATCTTCATGTCTCAGCTTCCTGAGTGCTAGGATCACAGCACTAATGATGACTTGTACTTTATGACTCTTTCCTGAGACTGAAGCCCGGAATCATTTGCCATTGCCCTTAGGTAAAGGGCATGGGTATTCAAAGAGCTATCTTGAACTGAGTTCAGACTTTGCTCTTCCTTTGTTCCTTGCTGTATTAGAGATCAACCTAGGGTCTGTATGTGGTAAGAGAGTGGGTCCTTTAAGATCCAGCCCGCCCCTGCCTTCCCAGCACCCCAGCTCCATTGCTTTCTATCCATGTTGTATTTTCTTTAGTTCTTACATGCATAGTAAGCTGTCACCTCAGGAAACTTGTGCTGGCTGCTTCCTTTTTCTGGAAGGGCCATCCTCCACCCATCTCCCCCTTCTTGCTTGGTTTGATGCTGCTCAGCTACACTCCCAGGCTATCCCGGACGTTTTAATGAGTTGTTATGTTTTCTTCAAGCACCCTTCAATTCTCCTGCCACAGTACTAGTCACACCATATTGCTACTGGTTATTGTCCTCCCTTTTCAGGCTGTAGGTCTTCGGAGGTCGAGGTTGTTCCTGTTTAGTTCACCATTCTGTCCTTGGGAACTGAAACTAGCATATCCAACTCCAGCTTGATACACACTGGCTTATAGCTGGGATTAAAAAAAACAAAAACAAACAAACAAAAAAAACTCATCTTTTACAAAGAGTTAAAGAAAACTGCCTATGGGATCTGTGATTTAATTCAAAGAAGCAGATGTCCAGAAGCACATTTTAGTTAACTGCCAGGTGTATCTGAAAGTTCCAGATCTCAAAGAGAGCTTTTCTTGGGTCTTAAAGGGCCAAAGCAGTGGTTCTGGGTTCTCTTATGAGATTCCTCTACTTTTCCTTGTCACCTCCCCACTCCCCTCTATGAGATGACTGTGCTCTGGTCCCTGCAATAGCTTACCCACTCTACCAATACTTTGAAACTCCTCGGCCTCTTCCCTTCCTTTGTTGTTAATGGATAATTTGGAGTCAATCAGGAGCCATCTTCTTCCAGGGTGCTGGAATTTAGCATCTGCTGAATCTCACAGACTCCAAGTGCTGGAGAGTATCTGACCCACCATGTTCTCTACACCAACACGCTAGAAGAGAGACACTAGCAGGCAAATATGATGGACTTAAATACCACCAGACATACAAAAGCAAGGCAATGGTATGGAGATATCTTGAGAACCAGCTGGCTCCCAGCCAGGTCTCTTCCTAAAGGAGTGAGCCTGGAAAATGACACTCGACAGCCTTATAACATGATGCTCTAGATTGAAGACCTAAGACCCAGTGTGTTGACTTCGACACTGCTGCTTTTGGAACTATTACACGCAGTGTGTGGAAAACCTTAGAAACTTGTCTATCAGCACCAAAATCCATTTATGGTTTCCCAGGCAACTCTCTACATTGCTAAGACATTTGAGTTGTTATAAACTTTGAGGATAGCAATTTGGCATGCAGCAGCTCTGGCATTTCCCTCTTGGCTGTCTGCTTCATTCATGCCCCTCCATGCTCCGGTCTGTGAGACCGGCTGCATAATCTGCAGGGCGAATGCAAAAGAAAAGTGTGAGACGCTTGTGTTTAAATTAAATTTTCTAGACAGTGACAAGGGAACATTAAACCAAGCACGGGGCTCTTTAAGGGCGGGGCCCTGGGTGACTGCACAAGTAGAATGCCCACAGTTCTCTCTGCACCTTGGGAAGCTGGACCCTGCCAACTCCTTTGCTGTTTGCTTCTGGTTAGTTCATTGGATAGGAGACACTGGCAGAGTTGACTAGAGGGCAGAGAGGAAGAAAACATTGTATTCCTCTGCTGCCGCAGCTGTCTCTGAAGTTTCCCACAACAGGGAAGATCATTTTTTCACAAATGCAACAGCTGCAGCAGCCGATGACTCTGGTTCCAGCATCCTGCAGGGATTCTAACCAGGCTTCTGTAGTTTTGCAAAGGAGACATGTTTTCAGATTTCTTTAGCTGGCTTTGTCTTTGCGCAAGCATCATACAATGTTCTTACACAAACCTACACAGTATAGCATATCACATACCTAGACCACATGGGATACATATATGGTACAGTCTATTGTTCCAAAGGCTACAGAGGAACAAAACCCTACATTAAGTCAAGCAGGAGAGAAGGTGCTATGACCAGAATACAGTAAACTCAAGATATATGAAGCCATTGCTACATCAAACTGGTTTACAGTAAATATTTTTCAACTTGGTTAAGACAGTTCCCTTACATATCCCTGTGTTGTAGAACACTATATTCTGAGCAAAAGTGTGGTCACAGCAGCTATGACTGCCCCCCAAGAGCTGATTAACAAGGGGAGGATGCTCATATTCTAATAATAATATTAGAGAGGGTCATCACACCATCCCTTGAGATTCTTCTCACTGCCTCCTGAGTCTCCCTCCCAGCTGTGACTCTGCCTCTGTACTAAAGTAGACAGTGGACTGAAGGGGGACCCTCATGGCACAGCTGTAAGAAGTCATCATCCATGCTAGGCCGGGACTTCCACTGCTGTTGGGATCACGCATGCTCCTGGAAGCAAGGCCAATACATCTAATGGTTTACCAAGCAGGACTGAAGTGGAATCGTATCTTTGGGCTGACATTGGTGCCTGATCTGGGGTGAGATCTTTGATCCAAATAGACTGTGTATCCAAGGCTATGTTAAACTCAACAGTGCTGGGATTAATACAGGCACACAATACCATAGCCAGCCACAGTACACATTTTCCAAAAAATGTGTATGTGTATGAACGGCTTGCATGTGTCTGTGTACTGAAGAGGGCATCAGACCCTCTAGAACTGGAGTTACAGATGGTTGTAGTTGCCAAGATGTGCTGAGAAGGAGACCCAGGCCCTTTGTAAGAAAGGCAAATGCTCTTAACTGCTGAGCCATCTCCTCCAACCCAACAGTAAACATTTATCTTATAATAAAAGCCACTCTAAAATAATGGCTAGACTACTGTGTAATGGACACATAAAACCACCAGCATCTCCATTTGCTATGACGATCAAGTAGTATATGACATGAATAATGATACATGCTATTCTTTTATAGCACTGGCCACACAGTATGTGTGCTTAGATCAGAATCATCACGGGGAGAAATTCATTGTCTTGTGCTCTTATGCTTACAGAGGCACCAAGCATAAGGGGCTTTTCATCTTCATTATATTTTTGGGGACCCTGGCAAATGTGCAGTCCATTGTTGGTAGTCCTTATGCAGCGTGCCAGCATGGAGTGAACATTGCCACTGGTTCCAGCAGCAGGCATTGTCTTCAGCAGGGACAGCAATGAGTGCTTTCAGGGCTCTAGTAAAACCGACTCCTCCCTATTCTCATACTCCTAGGGATAATAGCAGTTTCCTGAAGTCACTGCCCTCAGGCTTACTCTACCTTCCCATTTTGCTCCTTCAGCTCTTCCAACATTAACAACTATTCCTTAAATCAAGGCCCCTGGTTAAAACAATTAGTACCATTTCTAATTTCCTGGTGAGACACTGGCTGACAAATGGCTAGGTCCTTAAAATGATGTTTCCCCACTGACCCAGCTGTTCAATTCGGAAGGCTACATCCTATGGAAAATACTGTGGAGTGGGAAGAGACATAACAAAACTGATACTGCATTTTGTCTCCTGTGCCTTGCTAAAAGAGCAGAGCCAGGAAATAGCCTAACTCTTAATATCTACCAATGCAGCCGTTGTAAGATAGGGAAGACAAATACCAATGGGACAAAGTGTAACATGAAATCCAGAAATGGGATATTAGTATACGATTCAGGTGGTCTTTCAAGTCGCTGTGTGGTAAAGACAGGAAAAGAAAATTACAGACCAAAAGATCTCCTTTGGGCGGTGGTGGCGCACACCTTTGATCCCAGCGCCGGAGAGACAGAGGCAGGTGGATCTGTGATCTACAGAGCTAGAGCTACACAAGGAGACACTGTCAGAAAACAAAACAAAATATCTCATATGAACAAAATACGAACTTAATTAACAAAGAATTGGTAAATAGACTCAATAAATGCATTAAAAGGATAATAAATCACGACCTGTGGGGAATGGATTAAGTCCTAAGTGATGTGTGTAGCTGATGTGAGCACAACCATGCCAAGGACCCCAGTACTTCATATCCAGGAGAACAACAAAGCCTTCCCCAGGGTCAGCAAAATCTTCCTCTGGTCCCAGTAGGCATTTATGAACTACTGACCTTTAGCTAAAACAAGTGTATACAGAAACCATTAGCCACAGCTTTCTCCTCCTCCTAGATGTTGGCAACCTGGAACTACTGCCCTACAGAGATCAACTAGCCTGCATCCTCCTTGTTCATGTTGTATACAATAAACTGGCTGAGTCTTCGGGCTGTGCTGGCATATCTCCATTGGAGCTCACAGCCCCACCTGATCCCACCTTTTCTATGTTTCCCTGTTGTTTCTCCATTCTCTGTTGCCTCAGTTAGATCAACCCTTAAACCTTGAAGGTCTTGCCAATGATAGTTGGGCTTTCTTCCCCCAAACAAATTAATAGTTAAAAAGAAATAAACACTGTTGGGAGAGGCCGGTAGATTTCTAGTCTGGTCTACAAAGCAAGTTCTGCACAGCTAGGACTACACACAGAAATCCTATCTTGAAAAACCAAAAAAATAAGGAAAAGCAAAAAACAAAACAAAAACACTGAGTGAAGTGATACACACCTATAATTCCAGCACTGAGGAGGCCAAGGTAAGAGACTCTTGAGTGGAAGGACAATATAGCCAAATAGTGAGTTCTAGGCCAACCTAAGCTGTGTAGCAAGACCTTGTCTTGAAAATAAATAAATACCACATTAAAAGGATAAAGGTCAAGCAAGATGATTTCCACCAATAAGAGAAAAGCACTTGTCAAAATCCATGACAAATACTCTCAACAAGCTAATAATAAAGAGAGAACTTTCTCAATATGATTGATAAAGGGCATCTACAAAAAAAAAAAACACAGCTAAGCTTACTTACTATTTATGGTTTCCTAGGCAACACATATTCTCAAGTATGGTTCAGGTTGGCAAAAAGAAAAAGGAAAAAAAAAAAAACCATTGTGAATAACAGTCTTAAAACACATAGCCAGGATCACGGAGATGGCTCAGCCAGTAAAGGTGCTTGCTACCAAACTGGATGACCTGAGGTTGGTCCCTGTTATTCACTGGCTAGTGGAATGAAAGAACAGAGCCCTGCAAATTGTCCTTTGATTTTCATATGTACACAAGATAAAACACTTATACAAGATGGATAGATGATAGGTAGATAGGTAGGTAGGTAGATAGATAAGAAAAGCCACATAGGTAGTAATTTTACCTGCCTGCTCTCAGATAGGTAGAAAACAAGCTACAGTGCCTACTACCTCTATACAAGTCAACAT